TATTTCCTTCTACAGAAAGCTGAAGATAGCAATGGAACTAGGTCGTCTTGTGTGTAAACTAAGCCTAGTTTGCACTATATAATAATACACTTCCTGTTTTTAGGAGACAAGTGGAATTTAAGTTTACAAATTGTACACGTTTGGCAAAATACCTCTCAAACTTCCCGCTATAAACAGTGTGATATAAATACCTTTAGAAAGTAACACATTTTGAGATACAGGAAATCTGCATTAAGAATATCATTTTCTGCATTCGTAGACTTTGTCTACACCATACTTTTGTCAGTCAGGATTCTGAAAAAACACCTCTTACTGACATACTTTGCGCCAATAAAAGAACTGATGTGGACCATGCTGTCAGCAGGAGTAGTTCTCCCGCCGATGTACCAAACAGCATTTGCTAGGAGTGATTGGATTATGCTGGCAAAGAGCAGCTCCATGGGAGACTTTACAGCAAGTACAGCTGTACCACTGTAAAGCCTGTTACGTAGACAGAGCCTTTCGGTAGCTTTTCGGTCTGGCTTTGCCCACTTCATAATGCCCTGTTCATTAATGGAAAGACTCACAATGTTAGACAGCATGAAATTATATTCCTGGGATCACAGGTCATTTTAGGGGATGGGATGGGGAGGGAACAACTTGTGATTCAGGACCTTGTTAGAAACTTCATTTTCCCAGCCTCCCTGCTCCTCAGTTACAGAAGGTCTCTCTGAGGCTACGTCTAAACTACATCCCTCTGTTGGCAGAGGGATGTAAATGAAACACTTCGAGTACAGGATCTTTCAAAAAATCACCCTGTTGTCGAAAAATCGCCCTGTTGTCGGAAAAACTGTGTCTAAACTGTGGTTTCAGTTTCAAAATGGCACTTGTTCGAAACAGCACCATGATGTGATTATGCAAATGAAGCACAGGATATTTAAAGTGCTTCATTTACATCCCTATGCCAACAGAGGTGTAGTCTAGACACACCCTGAGAGTTTGTCTGATTTAGGAGCAGGTTGTAGTTTGAGGGATGACGAGGTTTGGAGAAGAGATCAAGGTCCGTTAGAGGGCATGGATTTTGCGTGTGCTCTCTTAACCCGGGTATGTGTGTACAAGTAAATTATGACTGATTTCTGCTCATCAGGTTCCTCGACATCAGTTCCTTCAGCCTCAGGAAGCTTTACTGCAACTGGATCTGGTCACTACACACCTTACTCTTCAAGCCAAGGACCCCCTCCTGTAAATGTGTCCCATGGATTGCCTCCAACCAGCCTGTCTCCAAATCTGTCCTTAGGCCAACCTGCTTTTTCTGGTCCACCAATGTCAGCTCAGCACCCCCCTCAAGCTTCTGGTTTTGTCTCACCTCCCTGCTCCACAGGGATTGGACCTTCCAGTTACCCTTCTACTACAGGGGCCCCAAGACCTTCAACCATGCAAGGTTCACCGTTACCTGGACATGCTCTGACTGGATTACCAACTTCCCAGCCTAATCATGTGTCTTCACCACCACCTCATCCAGCCATGTCAGGGCCTCCTCCCGGGCCTCCAGTGCTTGGCCTCCAGGGACCACCTCCACCCACTCATCCTTCCCCCTCAGGATACCAAATGCAGCAGAATGGTAAGTCACCCTCCTGCTCCTTTTATACTTCATATAAGGTAATAGGGCAGTCTGAGTCAGCCACTGGTATTCACTCAGCCAGGGTTCTGGCAGTGATTGAAGATTTCCATCTTTCCCTGTCCTTTGAAGGATGTCTTTCTTCCAAATGCACTAGTGCGCCCAAAGCAGGCTTTCTCTGTATTGCAGGAGAGTGTGGGCTCGTTGAGTTTTGGGTGTCGCTGTGATCTGGTTCCTGATTTGTGTGTCTTAGCTATGTTGTTTTTGTTAGCATGCTCCTTATAAGTTGCTCAGAATTCAGGGGCAAGTCCTGAGATCACCTGTGGTGGCTTGGTCAATGTAGATGAGAATTGAGTGAAACTGAATTATTCTGGCTTGCATTGGTACAAAAAATTGCTAACCTTCAGTACCGTATGCTGGCTTGTTTTTCACAAGAAGATAGTCTCCTGCCTTGAGGAGTTGGTGATTTATATTAAATATGTTGAGCTTTGGTTAAGTTGACATTTTGTTTTTTTCTGTATTCAGAAGTAGAGAATTCACAAAAATTAACTGTCAGGGCTTGGGGATTAAAGTGTACGCTCTGCATGTATATGGGAAGGTTTGTAGCATGTTAAGAGTGGACTGCTATCTCTTTCTTCTTATCTCCTTTTGCCTTGATTTGTCTGCCTTGGTGAACCACAGAGCAGCTCATTTAGAACTAAGAATGAAAGTATTTAAATATAAAGAGCTGTAGTACAGGATGAACCTCCCTGCTCTGGCACCCTAAGGTCGTCTTTTGCCTCTGAGAGATCCTTGTATCGCCCCAGAAATGTCCATTAATGAAGTATAAAGCAAAGTGAAACAACTACAGAATTTAAAAACTAAGTACATTAGAGTATCGGAGTTTTAATCTATTCTAATCCCAGGCACCACAAAAGTTGGCTGACATGTTTGCCAGTATTTCTTTATTTTGTTGGTCCAATATGGGGTACGCTATTGCTTTGGTCATTGTTTTCATAGAGGCTTTTATGCAGATCTAACCCATTACTTATTTCTTTAATGGATTTAAAGGACCGGTTCTTCCCATTTCTGAAACCGGTTCCAAAGATGGATTTATTAAATCTGGACTGTTCTGCAAGAAGCACAGGTTAACAACTGAGAGATTCTGATAAATCTCTTCAGCCCTCATTGCGTGAAGAGCAGGTAGCTGTCCATGTGTGGATAAGATGACTGGAAAGAACAGCTGCAGTAATATTTGAATTCGAGGCTCCCGGGAGACCTAGTCGTTTATGGGATCCCTATTGTACAAGGTGCTGTAGAAGTACCAAACAATGCGATGTGCTTTCATTCTGTTGTCTCTCTCTTTCAGGTTCCTTTGGACAGGTTAGGGGCCCACAACCAAACTACGGTGGCTCTTACCCAGGAACACCAAATTACGGGAGTCAGCCTGCACCACCTCCCCCGCCAAAACGCTTAGATCCAGACTCCATTCCTAGCCCCGTAAGTCAATCCTGTTCTCGCCAACACGGACTTCCCCATAGGCCATTGGGACCTATCAGTTTGAGTTACAAGATGTTCTATCTTGTGACTTTGTTTTTCATGCTTCTGCCCATGAACGGGAATTCTGAGGATACTGCTTCTGGTAAAGAGATTATATTGACTAGTGGTTAGAGCATGGAACTGGGTTTCATGTCACCTGAGTTCTGTTCCGAACTCCGTCTTTGTTAGCCTGTGGCCTCAAACAGATTACTAGCCTGCTTTCCCTTTGTTTCTTTGTCTGTAATACTGGGATACTTACCTACCTCAGAGGGCCGTGGAGACTAATGGTTGTATTGCATATTGGAACCTGGGATGGAAGCTGCTGTACAAGTATAGTTTTGCTGTTGCTCATTAACCCTATAACATAGGAAATCCTGAATTTATAGCACTAATTTTCAGCGTGCTGCTTTGTTCCATGTTGGCATGTGGGAGGGGGAGAATTCCTCAGAAGCAACATTGATCCCCTCTCTTGAGGACGGACTCTCATTAGACTACAGACTTGTTAACCCAAACGCAGGTGCACAGGGGACTTCTAGGTGGACGTGGATTTGTCAGAACAGTGCATAATGCCTCTTACAAAGCAGAGCTGTCCCTCAGCACAGAATTGGACGATTGCTGATGTTTCGAGAGTGGTTCTGTGAAAGGGCCTACGTCTGCTGGCTTACGCACAATATGTGATCTGTCTTGTCAGTGGTCAGATATCCTGTGGGGTTTGTCACCTGAAAGCTCCCACTTCACTGATGGAACAAAGTAAGTTCTATCTGAGTCAAAGCAGTCGGCTAACTGACTTGGGTCCCAAAGCTACATTAAACTTGACATTGAGATTCCCCAGCTTCTGAGAGAAGAGAGGCGAGTTAAAAAACAATGGTGGCTCCTTTGAGGAGGCCTGAAGAGCTTGTTTACAGTATGGTGAGTCGTTCACTGCAAGTACTGTTATGCATTCGGGACAGGAGCTGATCGAACACATGCGCCCTCATCAGCAGTGCTTATTAAAGGCATGGCTATAAGTTTGTCTTCGCTGTCCCTCTACATCAGGGTGGGCGATAATTTTTAAAAGGGGCCCACTTCATAAATTTCTGAAATGGTCCTGGTCCTCAGGCGGAAGGGGCAGGGCCAGGAGACTTCTTGTGTGTCCCCCCCTTCCCCCCCCAGACCCTGATTGGCCTGCAGGTGTGGGAGTGGGTGAAGTCTTCTCTGCTCCCTCTTCCCCCCCCCCCCCCCGGCGGCGGCGGCTGCT